TGAACCTTCAAAACAAATGTTAAAATGCAAATATATATATAAATAAATGAATTTTTAAAACTGATCATTTACGTATTAAAGTATGTTTGAAATCAAGTGAATGGCTTATTTAATTTTCTATCTTCAGCTAAGATAGATAAGATTACATGTTGAAAGTGAATTAATTAAAATTAAGTTAAATAATTGCATTCATTACATTTATGAAAATACTTTATGATTAAAGATCAGGCAAGATTTTTCTCGTTTGTCTAATTGGGATTACCAAATTAAAACATTAAATATCTCCATATCAGATGTAAATTAATACTTCTGATAAAGCCTAAAAATCCTAAGACATTTTAGTTATTAAGATTTTTAAGAACAATGAATTAAGAATTGTTCTGATTATTATTTTATGATAATAGTACAGGGTTCTGTGCCATAGAATCGTTGTTCTTATTTTTTTTTTATCCGAGCATGAGCTCGACAATGGTTGTTTTCTCAATCTAGGGTAATCTAGGGTAAAATGATGGCACTGTCATAGTTCCACCAGAAGCAGGCGACAGCACTGGTTAAGACTATCAAATGATAAACCTGAGTTTGTCTTATAACCAAATTCTGTTTTAATCAGGAGACAAAATTCAGTTGGCAAAGAAATCCACTATGCAACCCAAAGTGCATAAAAAATAAAAAATTTTTTTGCCAACTGAATTTTGTCTCCTGATTAAAATGGACTTGATTATAAGACAGACTCAGGTTTATCATTTGATAGTCTTAATTGGCACACCAGTAGGTTTTCTGCATTTATATGATATAAAGTCTGCTATAGTAATTTAATTTCTAAATCATTTTATATACAATATTTTATTTCTTTATTGTAAAACTAAACTAGTAAGCTGTTATAAAAATTTATAATTTAATTTTAGTTTTCAACATACAAACCATATAACTAGTATATTTGTAGTTATATAACAATAATATTGTAAATAGGTTTCTAATAAATAAATAAATTATTTACTTTTTGTCTAGAATTATTGATAATTGAAGAACAAGCACAAAGATAAAATAGCTTTAGAATGAAATACTTTTACTGAGTACAATGCTTACAATTAGTTACAATTCTTTGGTAAAATGCAAATTTTTTTAAAAATTTGTAATTTATTATAGTTTTCATAAGATGCATAAAAATTTATTAATTAAAATTTAAAACTGTTAATAGTTTTTATTTATAATAAATATTTTTTACTGAGATTTGTAATTAATTAATTAATATTGTCTATTATTTCATTCAGATAAATTTATCTAACAATCACAGATTAATGTTAATTAACTGTTTATAAGAAATATCAAATGTTAGTTTTTACAGAAACTTTTTGATTATGAAAATACGAACTATATGAAAAATAATGATTTTAAGAATTTTCATATTGTATAAGTTTAAAATTGTATTTAAACATAAATTTTTTATTATTATTGTGGTGTTTGTGGATTTATTTCACTTAGATTATGTACTGGTGCCTAATGCTATGACAGATCAAGATCAAGGCATAACTAAGAACAAGCTATTATTTTGTTTATATGCTGTTTGTATATGTATCTGTGCTTAAGAATTTCCTAACTGTGACAATGCTATTATGAAACCCTGTCTCTAGGCTTGTTTAGTGTTTATGGTATATTGCATATCACATGTGCAAGAAAAGAGTGCAGGCATGATAAGTATCTTATCCATTCTCCATAGATGCTTTGTTTCTTGTGAGTTCTGAGTATATACTACAATTGTACTATTTTTTAGTATATACTCAGAACTCACAAGAAATTTTATTGTTGCTGTTTAGTACAGCTGTGTCTATAATTTATGTAATTTTGTTTTGTTTGTTAATATTATTATTATCATCACCACAAAAAGAAAACAAAATCATTCATGTATTGAACTGCATGAAATTTTCCTGCGCATAGATAGTCCAGAATTTAGTAGGTTAATTAGAACATTTTTACAGAAATGCATGTTCTGATATAAGGATATTTATATGAATTGTAATTCCTTTAAATATTAAATCATAATTATAATAATGACTTTATTTATATTAATTTTATATTCAATAATGATCAATGTAACAAAAGATACCATTTCAGAAACTTTGCAGCAAAACTATTTACTAATATTTTAAAAAAATTATTAATATGAAATTTGTTCAGAAATATGAATTACTTATGGGTCTTGCTTACTTAATTTTTTTATTTGAATACTTGATTAATAGCAGCTACTTATGAATGTACCATATTTACTTGAATATAAGATGCACTTGACATTCTGTCAATATATGAACAAGAAGCCATGAGTTCACAAAATTTGCCTTGAGTTGTCTATTTCTGAAAAAGTATCCATAAACAACAAACCATTGGTTTGTTGTTTATGGATACTTTTTCAGAAATAGACAACTCAAGGCAAATTTTGTGAACTCATGGCTTCTTGTTCATATATTGACAGAATGTCAAGTGCATCTTATATTCAAGTAAATATGGTACATTCATAAGTAGCTGCTATTAATCAAGTATTCAAATAAAAAAATTAAGTAAGCAAGACCCATAAGTAATTCATATTTCTGAACAAATTTCATATTAATAATTTTTTTAAAATATTAGTAAATAGTTTTGCTGCAAAGTTTCTGAAATGGTATCTTTTGTTACATTGATCATTATTGAATATAAAATTAATATAAATAAAGTCATTATTATAATTATGATTTAATATTTAAAGGAATTACAATTCATATAAATATCCTTATATCAGAACATGCATTTCTGTAAAAATGTTCTAATTAACCTACTAAATTCTGGACTATCTATGCGCAGGAAAATTTCATGCAGTTCAATACATGAATGATTTTGTTTTCTTTTTGTGGTGATGATAATAATAATATTAACAAACAAAACAAAATTACATAAATTATAGACACAGCTGTACTAAACAGCAACAATAAAATTTCTTGTGAGTTCTGAGTATATACTAAAAAATAGTACAATTGTAGTATATACTCAGAACTCACAAGAAACAAAGCATCTATGGAGAATGGATAAGATACTTATCATGCCTGCACTCTTTTCTTGCACATGTGATATGCAATATACCATAAACACTAAACAAGCCTAGAGACAGGGTTTCATAATAGCATTGTCACAGTTAGGAAATTCTTAAGCACAGATACATATACAAACAGCATATAAACAAAATAATAGCTTGTTCTTAGTTATGCCTTGATCTTGATCTGTCATAGCATTAGGCACCAGTACATAATCTAAGTGAAATAAATCCACAAACACCACAATAATAATAAAAAATTTATGTTTAAATACAATTTTAAACTTATACAATATGAAAATTCTTAAAATCATTATTTTTCATATAGTTCGTATTTTCATAATCAAAAAGTTTCTGTAAAAACTAACATTTGATATTTCTTATAAACAGTTAATTAACATTAATCTGTGATTGTTAGATAAATTTATCTGAATGAAATAATAGACAATATTAATTAATTAATTACAAATCTCAGTAAAAAATATTTATTATAAATAAAAACTATTAACAGTTTTAAATTTTAATTAATAAATTTTTATGNATTACTGACAAAGGAACAAGATATATGGCACAAGAGGTTGCTAATTATGGTATATTACATTGAATCTATGATGCATCATCTTTTTAGAAATCTAAAAATCTGAAAAATGTGTCTTACATTCAAGTAAATACAGTATATATTGATAATTGATTTCTCAGAAATTTGCATTAGTAACATTAACAGAACAATAACATGAATAATTTATAGTTCAATGAAAATTAAATGTTATTTAAACAGAAAATATCATAAAGCTTTACAAACTGGAAATAATTACTATTTTTATTCCCAAATATTAGAATTGTTGATACTAAAGAATATTTTTATAGAAAAAAAACTGATTTAAAAGGTAATTACAAAATACATAATTATATGAAAATACAATACATGTTTTGTATTACAAAATATTAGAGATCAAAATTAAACAGATGTTATATTGTCTGTTGGGGAGGTATTTTTGCCTATAGCATTACCTTGTAATAAGAAAAGAATCATTTTCAGATTATTTATGCCATGAAAAGCTTGTATTGAACATTTTTTAAAAAATTAATGTAAAATAAAAGATTTCTCAGTGAAGTTTGAAAATAGTGATTCCATTTAATTCTTAGATGCATGATGATGTATTGTATTAAAAAAAATAATAATAAAGAGAATTAAGATTAGTTTCATGGTGTGATCAAATCAAACTGGAAAATAAAAATTATGTTTGAAAATGCAAAAATTGATTTTAAAATGTATTAGATAAATGCTGAGTAATGTTTTATACTGTTCATTCTGTTATATGTTATAATAATAAATTTGAAAATTGATAATTTGTCTTTCTCTGCATAAACTTAAAACAGTTTGAGTAAATAAAAATTGACTTTGGATTTACCCTTTCTTTTTTTATGAAAATTTAAGAAAGCATTTTAAAAATAACAATATTTTGCATAAGTAGATATTTTTACTATTATGTAGTTTCTGATGAAAGTGAATAATGGTTCCTCAACACTATAGATTCAGCTATTCATTTGTTATCATCATGTAAGTAAATAATTTGATAAAATTATAAATCTGAAACTTCATATAAGATTTTGGAAATGAAAGTTATTGAGATATAATTAAAAACTACAATAATTTTGTATATTCAGAAAACAATAAAGATCAACAGTACTTAGTATATTTAGCAGAAATGTTACTTACGTCTATTGAATTTTATATTTAAATGCTTTCTAAATGAATTTTAAATTTAACTGCATAACTTAATTAAAGTTATGATACAATAAATACAAAAGCAAAAAATAGTTTATTTAAAGCAGTATTTTATAGTATGTTTATTGTATTATGGATTAATAATTGAATGAGAAAATGTCATTCCTGCTATGAATACAAATGAGAATTAAATGTTTACTGTATCTTTTACAGTGTGTAAAGACTCTGAAGGCATAGAGAAGCAATTTCTGTGTGGCATTTGTAGAAAAGGATTTAAAAAATACAATAATTTGAAGACACATCTGAGAACTCATACAGGAGAGAAGCCCTTCATGTGTGATGTTTGCAAAAGAGGATTTAGTCAAAAAATTCATTTAAAGAAACATTTCAGAATCCATACAGGAGAAAAACCTTTTTGCTGTGATATTTGCTATGAAAGGTTTTCATTAAAAGGAAGTTTGAAAATACATCTTCGAATTCATACTGGAGAAAGACCTTTTACTTGCAGTTTTTGCAAACAGACCTTTGCTCACAGAAATACACTGAATTATCATTTAAAAACCCATACCAAAGAAAGGCCTTATGTTTGTCATCTTTGTCAGAAAACATTTCCTATTAATAGTCGCTTAAAAAGACATATGGAAAGCCACTTGAAATAATGAATTGTTTTGAATTGTTTAAACTGATTTCAGAGAAAATTACCAAATAGTAAAACATGTTTTCTCTATAGCTGTTAGTAAAAAGATGCTATAAACTATAGTGTAATGTCTGATTTAAATACTTGAAGTGATTCTAGTACTGTAAAAAAGTATAAAATAGATTTTTTTTACTTAGTTGTGATATTTTCTGTTATACTGGAAATAATTTCATGGAAATATCAAAAAAATTATTTGTTCTGTATTGTTATAGGAATTTTACCATATTAATTGCAAATTTCTGTAAAAAAGCAGTTAAAATCAAAATGATAACAGCTTATTCAAAAAGAAAAAAATTGAAACTTGAGAATAAACATTAACAGATTACTCCTTTTTAGTGCTGTCCATAAATGGCATTCACACTGGAAGGGCAGGATGGGTTTATGACAGGTTGGACAAAGTCAGACAAGGGGGATTGAATTTCAATGGACATCCATTTTATTTCATTAAATTTTGTGCAGTTTATGCATTTTACTATTCATAAAGTGATAAAGGTTTTGAGGAGGATTGAGTTTTGTTGGACGTTTGAAGAGGATAGATGGTTACGGAAACTTGGACAAACTGAAACAATGGGGGAGGAGAAGTAAAAATTTCAAGAAAAATGCAGACACAATTTATGGACAGCCTCTTTATTTTTATTCAAAAAAATTAATAATAATAATAATAATAATAAGTTT